CCCCCCCCCCCCCCCCACCATCACATGGTCTGAAATGGGGCAACAAACTGCATAAACTAAATAGGTCTATTTTCAGCATCACAAAATTCAGTACGGACCGGTTCCTAGTTAGAAGTCTTAACAGTACAAAAATTAGGGAAGTCAGGGAACGATATATATTTTAAGTGAAAAAAAGACAACCTTAAGATGACATGATAAGCAGAAAGCTGACATGTAGGCCTTCTGTTAAAGTTATTCTTGACCGCTGGTAACTTATTTAAAGAAACACGTGAAATAATTTAATTTACACCGAAATACACTCACGTAACGGCTTGAAGTCTGTCATCATATTCAGGAGAAGACAGGTTATTCACAAAAACTTCATCAGTGTCCGGCTCCTAGAAAACGCTTAAATTAAAACTAGAACTAATAAATAAAGCGACAATATCATTAGCGACTTCTCACCTACCGTAAATACCGGCATTTTCATGGTGAACAGACTGGGTTTCAACTTTTTATCTCGCTTTCTTTTTTTCTCGCTCTCTCTTTCTTAAAGTACGTAGTCAGCAGTTGTTACCGAAGGCTCAAAACATGGACTTATATAGTATGCTGTGTAACTAACTGCAAATATCCTCACGTCATTCGAACTTCCAGTCCAGTCACGACCAGTCACCTAGCCTGCGAACAGGCTCCCAGCGAGGGCGGAAAAAAATTCGGCGAGCGAAAGCGTGATTCCGTGAGCGAAGGGGATGCTCGTTGAATTTGTTAAATTCCAAAGAGAGACTGATCTGGAAGTGGCTCAAACTTTTCTTTGAAACCTAAAAGACACTAACCTAAAATGGACAGATATTTTCAATTATATTTAGAGTGCAACCCTAAAGGTTCCATGAAGGCTACAACCCTGAACCCCCCCAAGTGAGACCAAAATGTGTGATTTACACCACTAACAGGGATGATGAGCATCCCTGACTTTTTCACATGTGAGACACACAGAGCAGGAGAGGGGGAGGGGTGCAGTTGTCAAGAGACACAGGCTTAGAAGATGGCAGGAAACCAAGACCAGTTGGACAGGAAAATCAGTTAAGAAGGGAAAAACAACATTGGAAAGAAGCATTGATGTAAAACATGTACTCAGGATATTTTCTTTTTCTTGAACAGTATGGTGTACTGTCATACACCTACCTAAAAAGAACACAGTTCTGTAACTTTAAAAGTCTATACATAGTTTATTTTTTAACCATTAATTAGATTTCGAGGCAGTTTCTGTTAGTATTTTCAAGAAAGCAGAAAATAGAGGAGCTTTACATAAATTTTAAGACAGTCAAGTTTGACAACTAGTTGTGAATGAAGTACCCTTTGTCTGGAAATTTGCAAAGAATGTCTGTGAAATGAGGCTGACAGCTGTAAATGTACTCCATGTATCAAAGTAACTCACTCAGTTTAATTCTGTTGTATCAATCATAATGAAATGATATTCAGGATATTATTTTCATTTCACATATTTAAAACTGCAGTTCAGATTTCAAAAATCAGGTATGCAGTGAAGATAGGTTTGTACTATGATTTAAAAACAACACTGTAACCAAATATCTTCTAAACCATTTATTGGCATATTTCCAGCAAAAAATTCCTCATACAAAAACGTTTACATGACACAGTACCAGGTAACATATGATAAAGGACCAGAGAATATTCATGACTTCTGATACATCAATGATCCTATTGAGTTAACCAATAACAACATTCTCTTAAGTGAAACAAGGTGAAAATAGTCATTAGGTAGGAGGGGCTCTTATTTTTTTTCAACCATTTCACTAAGGGTCCTTCTGCACCAGGCTGACAAATTTGTTCAGCTCTACCAAACATCATGACAAAAATTGCCTAAAAATATTTGCAAACCACAATACAGAAATATTTGACTCCTTCTGTTCACTGTGAAACGGCTTCATCAATGTTGTCCTTAAAATAAATTGACAATAAATCGACAGATCTGCCAGTTTTGATGCTTGGCAAAAAGTTGGCCTGCTGTGAGGTAGGGTGACAATGTTTTTGAAGCTTGGTATGGTTTTTGCAAAATAAACCAAAATTTGCCTATAGTGGATTGGCTCCTTAGTGAGCCTCTTCAGTGGCTAGTCATGTACACAGTACATTTTCTTCTTCAGGATGCATTGCAGCAGTGCTTTCAAAAAGACCTGACACTTACCAGAGCTCTGGCAAGCATCTGCTGATGCTGTCTGATGGTTGCTTCACTAGGGAAGTTATTTACATGTATATGTACCGGTATTGTACGGTTCGAGAATATATTCATACTTCCCTCGCAGAAAAGATTGGAATTTCCTGAGGGGGGAGGGAGTAACTTCTGTAAGACTGAAAAACTTAAGAAACGCAGGAAGTTTGATTGGAATTTCCAGAGGGGTGGGGTTCTCTGAAAAAAATCCCTTCTGTGGGGGAGGTATGGATATTTTCTGGAACTACACATTTCTATTCTTACTAAAAGCAATGTAATTGTTGAAAAATTTCTGATGAGCATCACAGCACTCTTGTTCTGTCCCTCTGGGCATTGATATGTATTATTTTACATATATGTACATGTACCCTACTGTATACACTATGACATTCAAGAGTCATTAAAAATAACAGATTCAGTGCAACTGTTGTTCAATAGTTGCACAGCTTCACAAGAGTACAGACATGAGCGTGAATTAAACTGCTGTCCAGCTGAGAATAAACTTCCATTGTATCCCCAGCCACATCCTGCTGCTCACAGCCCAAGTCACCCGTCATACCAGTTACCATTGTACTGATGTTGATACAAGTAAAGCCGAAGGCTTCTTATGGCACAGCTTATGATGGTCAATTCACTGTACATGCACTCATTAAATCTGCAAAACAGTTCCAGCTTAGGAAAAATTCAAACTTCATCTTCATTTAATAGCATGTTGGGGATTCCATTTTTGATTGGAAATTTTTTGCCTGATTCTGGACAGACCAGTGATCCTTCTTCCACTTCAACCTGTATACAAAAAAAAAACATATTAAAGACTGCTGGTTAAATAACAATGTCTCTGAATGGATGGCAAAGTATTTAGCACAAGGCTACAATATTAAGCAAATTTCTCGCCCTTTAAAACTTTAGAAAAACAACAGAAAACTGCTGCTGATGTATTAGCATGTGCGTACCAGCATAAATGAGCTTCATAAAAACTGAGCTGGTTTAATCTATGTGTGCAACATACGCAATGTTTGTTACATATACATGTGCGTGTGCATGTACATATAGGTATTGATTGGTACAGTGGCTTAGGGTATGTCGTCCGATCAGCTACATGTACACTGTAGCAATATTTATTATATTGGTGAAATATAACCTCTACCATCAGAAGTTTAATCAAGAAAAAAAAAAAAGAATTTATAATGGGATCTTTTTTTCAGGGCAAATTTCGTATAACTGTTTTTCCAAAAGACTTGAAAAATGGAGGGAGAGGTGTAGTGGCCTAATGATTATTGCGAGGGACTCCAGATTAGTTTTGACCACTGCCTGGGGCCAACAGCAACAACAACATCTCTTATTTAAACACGGTGGGTTTTAGAGCTAATATAGCTTATGGGACCGACATGTAAAAAATGTTAATAGGATAATAAACAATTGAAAAAATGCAAAAAAGATACATGGGATTGTGTGCATTTCTGCTTATAGGCAAGATACTATTTTCGCAGTGTCTCTCTCCATCCTTATGCGTAAACAAAAAGATTGTATCTCTGAAATGGCGTATGTTATAAATAGAACACTTGAAAGCCCTACTATGCCACAGAATTTAATCATATTATTGCTTCTTGAATACAAACCTCTAGCAAAACATGATGAGCTTTTTTAAGAAATTCTTCATCTTTTTCATAGTCTGGGATTAATTCATCTGGCAGACCCTCAGACCGTCCAACCTGAAGTTATTAGATTATTTCTCAGATCACAAGTTGTAATACAGTACTGTGATAAAAATTTTCAATGTTACCAGCTAACAGGACTAAGGGAAGGGTAAGACAACTTAATATGGTTCTGTCATGTTGATGTACGATACCACTTTAGCAGAGAAATATGGTGGCCAAAAAGGTCAGACTGTGAGAAGAAAAACATATTTCACTGTCAATAGATGTTCTCATTTTTTTTGCCAGCTTCTCAGTGGTCCAGAATCCTAAATCCTTGAATCTGATTGGCTAATCCTGCACACTCCAGTGGTCTAGATTTTCCCATACGGAATGCTCAGAAATTTCCAACTTTAGCAACTTTTCAAGGTTTTAGTTACACCATAAAACAATGTAAAATGTGAAAATTCAACACAGAGGCAAACAATCCTGGATTCCGATAACAAGAGCTATCATAGCGAAATGCCAAACACGTGTGCATTCTCCAAATTTGAACTGAATGGCTTAAAACTCAACACAAAAATAGTTCTCAAAATATAAAGAAAATTAACATGTCATATACCGGTCTTGGCCTTGTGAAAAACTGTCCCCTCTGTCTTGAGTACAGACCTTAGTCCATACTCAGGCACAGTTTTTCCCGATACGGATCTCCCTGCCAGCAAATAACATATGTGTAACATTAAGTAGTACATGTATGTTGGACTCACTTGTTGTGCTGCCTGGACTAGAGCACTCCATTCCAGTTTAGGAATCATGCGAGAGATGAAGTCAGGATTGAAGTCCACTTCATTTACAACAACATTAACAACCTAACACAAAACAGCAGGATAAAAAGCATAAGTTTACCAAACACAGCTCTTTAAACTGCTGAACTGATGTGGTAGACAAGCTAAGTTGTTTTTTAACTACATTTGCTATAACATACGTTATAATGATTTACACGAAAGGTCCGCATCGATCAGCCTGACTCGATCTTCTTCAAATAAAGTATGTATCAGCATGTATGTGCTCGTCTTCTGGATAGGGATGGCGAATGGTAGGGAAGTCATAACATCGAAATAATCATGTTTTACTATTTAACGCACTCTTCTGTGACTCCACGTGAAAGTCAAAGAATCCAAAGTCACGTCACTGTCTTCAGATACTATATAATTACGGAGCAAAAATAAAATTTGTACCTCTATGGTCAAAGGATATCCATTCTTCACGCCTTTGACATGAGATTTTAGCATGTTATGCGTTAAAAGCCGCATTTTCATCAGAAAGAATTGGCTAAAATGTGCGCTACATCGATGATTCGATGAACGTCGAATGTTTTACAATTGAATGCCGCTGAAATTTGTTGCAGGCTCGCTTGCAGTAACGAGGCTACATAATAGACTCGTTGTGATTGGCTGAAGTGTAAGGGCGCCAAACCGCTCACGTGTAGCTGCGCCAGTGATGACACCTCGGCCTGAAAGTGTTTGGAATTCACAGCTTTTGTGAGTTTTACAACGAGAATTGTACGCTCCTTTGAGGTATTTTTATTTTTTTTCTTTTGAAATACGTGCACTTATTTTTGCGGAGAAGAAAGGCGGAGGAAAAATAGCTTCCAGAGATCCGTGGGGGTAGATATTTTGTGGTAAAATCGACCACGCGCACGTTGATCACAGTGAGCTGAGTTTGCTAAAACTGGATCGTAATATTCTTATAAGCTTATCTTTTAGTTTCGGGACTTTGCTGACACGCAGTCAGTTAACTAATTGTTTTTTCAAAGAGCGTGTGTCTCAGGCGGCCTGTTTTTTACTACGGTTTAACGATTTTTCCCCAGCTCACTTCGATTGCGCCATAAAGACTGCCTCTTCATATGAGACCGGTGACCGGGCTAGCTCGGTTAGGGCTGTTTCACTAGAGACGGAAGCGACGGAAGCGGAGTCGTAAGTGGAGTCGGAATCGGAAGAAAGTTCTGATCTAGTGTGAATCGGCATGACGGAAGCGGAATCGTAAGCCTTGCTTTCAGCGTAAGCCTCCCTTTCATTTGTAAACATTCACGATGGCGGACCCGGGAGATGACGAGAGATTGCTGCTTTTGCTATTGCTTTTTGTTCTCATATGACAAACCTCTCAGCAGACACAATATTACGGTAACTAATACCCAAACGGAAAAACCCGAGAAAACTGCAGCCATACAACAGCATGATCCTGACTTAAGAAAACCTCAAACAAATGAAACTGTATTCACTACTGCAATACGTACTGGTCTGAAGTCCTACTTGTTTAGCGACATCCTCCCATGCTAGCCTTTTTTTGTTGTTGTCTTTGAAGTTCCTGCAGAACTTGTCATAAAGAACGGGGAACTGTCTCACAGCCTCTGCCAGTTTTTCCTCTAGACCCACTATTTTTTTTTTCTTGCTCTAAGTTTGAAAGGGACTGGTAATGAGTTTTTTGATTGGCTGATAATTCCGCTTCCACTTCTGATTCCATTCACCTTGTTCTCACTGGATCGAAAGCGACGGAAGTGGAAGCGGAATTGGAAGAAAAAGAAACTCATCTGATCCTTCTCAATCCGATTCCGTCGAGCTTCCGACTCCACTTCCGATTCCACTTTTTGATTTACACTGGATCGTAACACTCCTTGCGCTTCCGATTCCGACTCTGCCTCCGATTCCATCACTAGTGTGAACCAGCCCTTACCAGGACAAATTTTGTGGTCTGTTCATATGGCAAATTTCAGCCTGGTCAACCGGGATGAAATCCAAGAAACACAACTAAAATGGTGGAACGTAAACTTGTATCGTTCGTGACTGTTGTAGCTCTGTGGACTCTTGTAACTTTACAAATGAAGCTAATTCGAATATTCCTAAAGTTGAAATATGTACATGTACAAGAAAAAAATTATGCAATTTTGGCCACTAAGTTGTGAAAGCGAAGCTTGTCTAAAAAGTTTCGTCCCAGTCACCCTGGCTGGAGTGTTCGTATGGGAAAATTGTCATCCTGGCTGGCCAGGTTATGGATAGCGTGTAGTTCCACAAAATATCCATACCTCCCCCACAGAAGGGATTTTTTCCAACACCCTTCGCCCCTCTGGAAATTCCAATTAAACTTGATACATTTCCCCAGGAAATTCCAATCCCTTCTGTGGGGGGAGTATGGATATTTTCTGGTACTGCACATCTTGCTTTTGCGACCAAGATCTCAGTAACTGGGCCAGCCCAGCTTCTCATACATTGTATGAACTCGGCGAAAATTCTACAAAGAGTGTGAGAGAGTGGCGAGGAAAGATCTCAGAAACGGGGCCAGCCTGGTTGACCAGGCTCATATGAAGAGGCCCTTCTTAAGGTTTGGTATCCAGAGAGTTTATCAAACCTTTGCTCGTATTTTGGCGGGACGCAGTCAAACTAACATATTCATGGAACATTACGTATATTACACTACACCCAATCCCAGCCACATCAGGTTAGCGATTGACTTGATATCACAGGATGTGATTGGTTAAGTGTAAATTTGGGCATGATAATAATTAATCTTGTTAGTGTAATTTCCAGAGGTGAATATAAGAATTGGACATTCTGATTGGTCAAAAAGCTCAGCTTATGACGCTATATTCACCATGCTAATCAGTGAATGTAACATTTTCGAGGCCTGGTTACTAAGCTCACCACCTTTGCCATCCCAGCAAGTAAACATGGCAGACAGTTGCTGAATGAAATTTTCGCTTATTTGGAAGACATCTCTCCAAGTCCAGGATATTTGAAAGGATGGAGTATTTTCAGAATAACTACTGTCACCCTAATGGACAAAAAGCCCTTTCAAGAACTCATATTCAAGGCATTTAAGAATCGTAAATGCAGTGGTTATGTTGATCGCCAACAGGTCAGATTGATTGAGTGAAATTTATTTTTCTTCAAACTAAAGCTACTCATTTTTAGGCGATGATAACTGTGAATGAAGTCAACAACGATAACAGAAAGGTACTGGATGAATTAATTTTTCATAGTGTTTGGCATGTTTGTTTTACTGCCATACTTGATGAATAAATTGATTCACAATTGATGTACGTGTAAGTTTATTACAAGAACAACGGCTGCATACATATATGGAAAAAAACAATTGCATCTGTGTTTTTATCTTTTCGTTCGTTATTTTGTAGTCCTTGATATTCACCTCTGAAAATTATACTATAACAATAAATATTACTCGCCTCAGGTGAAGTGAACACACTGGTGAATATTCACCTCAACTTTGTCTCTGAATATTCACCAATGTTCACTTTGCCCTTGAGAGATAATTGTTAATTATAGCATACTCGGTAAATGCACGCCAGTTAAATCGATAGCACAAACATGCACTTATAACTCAATGTATACCATGCCATAGAAAATACAGCCAAGGGAAGCAGGGAAGCCGCTGTATAGTCAACAGTATTACACCCAACCTTTCCATGGTGTGCTGCATGTATGTTGCATTGAATGTATTGGTCACTCTTTTTTTCTATGGTATGGTACAAAAAAGTAATATTGATATAAATAGTTGAGGATTGTGTATTTCATAAGTGATCTTCAGTTAAGCATAGTTTTTGTTTCTTTACCATGGGTTTAGATGGATGGAATAGTGCAAGGAAATGGACAACAAAATAACCTGCCACCTGTAGAATCAAATCTCTGCTGTAACATTCAACCACCAACAGAACAGACTGTTGAGATACCGAGGGGTGATTCAAATGGCAAATGTGATATCAACAGTGAGATAAATGACATTAGCAGGATAGTTCAGTTGACACCAGTAAATAAGGGAGAATCATGTATTAAACCTACATGTGGACAAGGTTTAACCATGCCTGTAGTCCGTCCAGAACTGAGTATACCAAACTATACAAACTTAAGCACAATATTGTTTAGTGGACAAACTCCTACAAATACATTGAATACCAAGTTAGCCGGTCTGTTCACCACCTCCACTCAGTTTGTGGGCCAAGTGAGAAATCCATTGACATCTGTTGTCCCCATTGTCAAGGGAGCTGTGCAGTCCACAGTAGTAACAAGCACCAGAATACCAATGGAAAGCTTGGGAGTAATGTCAGGAAATGTGTGCAGTAAAATGCCTATTGCATCTCCTTTACCTTCTAAGGTAACAAAATTCTGTTCTAATTTTTTTTAAATTATTTGATGTACATTAATTTTTTATTGATGGTACCCAGATCATTAGTTATTTGATGTCAAGCTGCGACCGGACATCTTTGCATCACTGGAGTGTGAAATACAATGTACAAATGATTCTTGTAAGTTACTTTCACATTTCAAAAGGAACTTAACTTCTTGAGGTTTCACTGCATTTGTGTTTCACCAGACTCTTCTATGCGTAATTAACAACTATATAGGATATCTTTCAAGCTAAGTTTGTGGATATGGAAGATCCCGACTATTGTAAGCTCAGGAATCAATGGTAGGTTCATGGTAAACAGCCCAAGTCAAAAGCTTAACAGCTATACATGTACCATCAGCACATTGCGTTTTATCTAGCAATTTAATCCTTAATCTTTCAAGAGGATACAAAGCAATCCTCTCAATTGATAGAGAGAAATGTCAACCTCGTTTAGTTGTGCAATTCCTGAAGTAATATCGTGTCATTTTGTAATTACAGCTTTCAAGTACAGGACTGTCATATGAGCATTATTTAGCAGCTGCTGGTACTTCATGTGATGTCAAAGGCCAAACACTTACAACTGTACAGTACCAGCCCACTGAGAAATACAGCAAAACCATGCATACACCTTCATCTTACTCACAGACAATAGAGCAGCCCTGTTTCACCACCACAGAAACAGCATATACCACAACAGTCTCGGCTTTAGGCACAGATTCTTCCATGAGACAAGCAAAAACACATACAGAATCTTACCCTGCAACTGCTGTAGATGCTCACTGCATACACACAAGCACTGGAAGTGGGAACCAATCCATGATAACAGGTTTAGCTGACACAGAACAAGCTCCAGTAAGCAGTGCATTGCCGCAGTGTGGGAAGCTGGCAGTAGCTGCTGACATAGTTCCAGAACTTCAGTCAGGCAGAGTGGATGCAAAGAAGTTTTGCCCTCGTTATTATGACATTGATTCTTTGGAGATAGGAACCTGGAGGGTTAGTATGCCTAATTTATTCAAAAAGCTTTTTTAAAATTTTACTTTTTGATGTGGTGGTTATTCAAGGGCAGTGTTTGTGATATTATGATAAATTCTGATACACTTTATTATGATATTTTAGTATCAGCACAAGATGTTCTCTAATGGGAAATCAAGAATTAAGGTCATATTCACCCAAAGGTGGGTAAAACAACTATATCAACAGTTACCAGTAAATTTCTTCATATCAGCTTTAAATTCAGTGATTGAAATCTACATGTACCGTCCAAAGTGAGTAATAGAAGGAATATTAAATGTAGAAATAGCATCAACTTGGAACAAAATGTGAGTTTCTGATGAGATTTGAACCCAGGGATTCAACTAGATGCTCTAACCACTGTGCTACTGGAGACTCTATGGTGAGCAAGGGTGAAATGTGGGTCCTTTACTGGGACCACATTACACAGTCACACAGCCAAATAATGACTTGGCACATACACTGTGTGGACTCATTACTGCATTACACAGTCACACTGATGTATATCAAAGATGCAAGCAACCACCCTCCAAAGTGAGTAATAAAAGGAATAATAATATTTAATGTAGAGATAGCATCAACTCAGAAAAAATATAGTGTTAAAGATAACTTACAGTTACCACTACAGTGGAATCCAATTTTTTCAAACCTCCTGATTATTCAAAGTAAATTTTTGTTGCCTTGGCAAAAAGGTTAGCCAGGGGGAAATTTGTTTCCTTGGCACCACTAGCCTTTGTGCTATAAACACTGCTGAGGGTAAATAAGGTATATTTATTTATAATTTTATTTATTTACACTTGATTTCTCAAACCTCCTAATTTGTGTTGTTAAAGTACTAATTTTAACAGTTTTTATTTGAAAATCAGTATTACACTGTATATGTTTTAAAGTTAAGGTCATAAATTCCAAAATCCAAAATCTCTACAATTAAAAGATACTTAAAAACAAATTAAAAGGCAATTTTGTTGTGGTTGATTGTCGTGACTGAAATCAATGATCCATCTAGAAAAAGGCTGTCGTGAGTCCTGGGATTCACACAACCAACAATCTAGGAATACCAGGCCCAAGAGTGTAAGTTCATGGACATATACAACTATTGTACGAATTTAAAAAGCACCATGACAGCCTTATTCTGCTTTCTTACACCTTTTCTAATTTGCACTGCCTCAAATGACCTTCTTAACTGAGGGCCTTGGAAAGATATTTGGTGTTCTTACAGACCAGCATGTTGAAAGAGCATAGTATCTTGAAACTTTTCTGCACTGGGCCTCCTTGCTCATTCCATTGGGCTTCTTAGCTTCCATGCAGATTAACAAGACGTGAAATTGCCATCTTTATTGTACACCAGCGACATCAGTACTTTTTCAGCCACAGCTTGACAAATGTTTGTCCGTTAGAACTGGAAGGCATTCTGTTGTCGAGATTTTTTCCTCATTTGCATCCACCCAGTAACGTACATGCAGCACTTGCAGTGACTGCCAACTTAAATCATTCATGACATTATTATTTTGTGTTAAATGTCAGTAATTTACACAGGCTAATAACTTATTGTTTTAGGAAATTTGTTTACGAGCTCCATATAAACAGTACTGCAGACAACAAGCACGTATTGGTCTGTATAGAAATTCCCTTCAGAACTGTAGTGGGTTTAAACATATCAACATCACCTACAGTCGATGTCATCATGGAGGTGGACACTGTACCAGCCATGTGGCAGGGAAAAGAAGTACTTCAGCAAAGACGAAATGGGACAACTTGTTCCAGAATTCAATACAATACTTTACACACAGTAGACTTGACTGATGGCCAGTTATCAAAAGTACCATACCACAAGGTATCACATGGTTATATAGTTACATTGTATAATATATTGTAGTAATGACAATGTAGTAAATTTATATTAATTAAGCACCAAAACCCAATGTTAAATGGTGCTTCTTCTAGCCGCTCAGACAAGCACCAATGGAGGTGCAACCAAGCATTAAGCAGTTGAAGCACAAAGCTATTTACACATTTTCCTGAAACAAAATTTCTAACATGCAATTGCCAGCATGCATTCGATCCTTAAGTTTTAAACTTTTTATCTCGTGTAGATGATTGAATGAAGATATTGCAATGAAGTGTAAGCCTGAAATGCTTGGATATGAAAATAGTACATAAACACACAACTTAAAGCAGCTGTGAAGTTAAGGCCTGAAAAAAATTCAGGCTTGAACGAGATTCAAGTGTTTGCATTTTTATTTTCAGTTAACCCTCTCAAGCTCATCAATAGCAATCAGGAACCACCTCATGAACTTTGATCAAAGGTTTTCCACTCTTCTGAAAAAACCAGTCAAGATTGATTACAACAAACCACCTCCTACTGAACTGAAACTCGAAAAATCATCAAAGCGAAAGAAAAGAAACCAAGACTTGAGTGAAGAATCTCCAATACACAGTATGGGCATATTAAAATTAACATGTGGTAGTAACATAAATTTAAGAACTCCCTTCCTTCCAGATTTACATTTTTTACTTCATCCATCTAGAATCTTACTTTGACTAACTACAACTTACAACAAAAGAGATTTCACGCTTTTACATCTTCCCAGAAGTTTACCAACTGTCTTGAACAGGGCTTGAAATTATGACCAACACGATCACATGCATTCATTCATTCATAGTCACAATTTTGCAACTAGTTTTCAACTAAACTAGTAAAGGAATAAAAATTTCAATTGTTTTGTGTTAATTACTGTGAAAATTAGAACACGTGTGGGCAAATCGTGCCTAATTTACCTTCGATATGACCAAAATACTGACAATATTCACTTGTTCTGCAGACGCTGTTGGAGTGGTTTCTTTATGAATATGTATCACTGGCGCATAGTAAACAAACGTGGCGAGTGGGCATTCATCGCAAACAATTCTCTAACAAGAAATTCGTCAACATTAGGGCCTCTGGAGCCCAATGTACAACCCAGATTTTATCGCATTTCTTCTGTTAGTGAACATGAACAGATGCATGATCGATCCATGCTTGTCTTATATCTTGCTTTCCACGGTAGTAAGCATGCAGTGTGGTCAGTTCATTTGTACTTTCACACTCTTTCCGGTCCCTGTCAAAATGATGAAAAATGCTAATAATTTATCATGAAACCTTTTCAAACTTTTCTCTAGTCAATGTGTCAGGCCAGACTATTAAACTAGCGTTCTTTCCACTATCAACTAGATCTGGAACCAAGCCCAAAATCTCAGCAGTATTACCAAACAAGTGATTCCCTGAAAGTTTGCTGTTGCACCTCAGGCTGTACATCAAAGCGTTGTAGCTGCATAAGGGAACAGAGAAAGTGTCGGGATTGCTCTTGTGTATCATGTGACAACCCTTTAAATATTCTGGAAGAATTTGGAGTAAACTTGGCTGAGGCTTGCAGTGACAGCTGTCTAATGCAGAATTTACCAAAGGTAAACTGCATGTGCATGTATATTCAGTTGCAATAGACTATGTCAAGTAAAACTATTTCTGCTGTACTTCAAGTGTGTGTTGTAATTTGTAGCACTGCTTTAAATTATACTCAGCACCTGCCAACCAGAGCTCTGCTACATGTAGGTACTGTGTTGTGATTATAACTAGCCAGCTATAATGGACTGAGGACAGAAGGGAAGGGTCTCTCCTACTGCTCTCTCACAGTGGTTTTCGCAGGGTAGCCACCTACTTCAAAATCCTATTAAAAGCAGATTAAATCTAGGTAAAAACCATACGTGAATCTCCACAAGTCTTGGAACTGTAAAAATATTTTCAGTACAGTGTGTATAACAGCTCTATTACATTTTAACAGAGTCTTCGATGTTTCAATGTAGTGCAATGATCTTAAAATAATTATTTTAGTTTAAAAATAATGTTCTCATGGGCACCAATCTGCTTGGCTATCACAGCCATTGATAGATTATTATCTATCAATGGTTGTGAGGAGAAATTGATGAAACTGTATCAAAGAAATTAATTAAGGTCATTCCCCAGTATTGCACTGTGCATCCTTACTGCGCATAAATAATGGCGGCATTAGCGCGCGTTCGTGCACGCGCACATTGAAACATGGCGAATTTGCCTTGATATTGAGTCCTGTCAGTTGAAAAATGGCTATAGCTCACTAACGAGCTTGGGCACCCCAATTTTTTTTTTCCAGCCTTTTTAATCAACTAATCATTAGCTTTGCGTGAGAAAAAACTGATCTGATTTCTATGGTTGAAAATTGAATAAATGAGGAAAATAGCAGCTGCACTGTAGTCTTTTCTATTTTGCAGTTTGATAACCAAGGCAAGCAATTTGGTTCCAATATTTTAACAAGCATTTAGCTGTCTGTCAAAATCAAACTTAAAAAGTTTATTTGTGTCCAACACAAGTATTGACTGTAGTTTGAGGCGTGTTTTCATGATTCTGGGCTCACAAAGAGTTTACAATAACTTGGAATGCGTTCTTGTAATAAGCATGAAACAACGCTAAAATAGGACATTTTCAATGCCTCACTGCTCCTTAACGAGCATGGACACCCTCCTTTTTTATTGTATAGTTAAAGTTCTCATATGATAAATATTCAGTGGACAAAGTTTGAGCAAAAATTTATGTGCAGTTTTATTTCAGGGGTATTACCTTAAATACGTCACCTTACACGGGAAAATGCACACTAACGCTTATCCGTTAAACAGATGAAACCGTTTATTTCCGTCACTTGCATTGGCCGACAAAATACCGACGCACCATGGATGCTTCACCAACACATCTTGTACGTTATAAAGAGAAAGAAAGGCCAAGAGTTGGTCGACTGTCGACTGACGCGTCTGCCAACGGTTTGGCCAACACGTTGGTGGAATTGGATGCTTTGCCTTTACCCATATTTGATTAATAGCTACAGGCTATATTTATGTACTCAGTGACTCTCAGAAACAAAGCTTGTCTTTGTGTTCTATTCAGGTCAACAACATACGTACATTCCTGCAGAACACATCAGTAGCTACACCTTGCTGTGACAGTCTTATTCCAATGAAAAACTGTTGTACTGGTGTCGTGGAATGTCCAGAGTGTGACTGTGAATACCGCTTCTCATGGTGTTCTCGTGACTTGTGTGATGAAAATAATCGTCCTCGCAATCACTGTTCGATCTGCCAGATGTGCAGAGACTACAGGGAACTACATTGCTCTGTAAGTGATCAGATTTCCTCACTACGTAACTGTTCATAAAATAAACAATTTTATTGCTTGTTTATATAAACTGAAGAAACGGAGAACCAATACCAAATCTCAGTTAGTTTCAATTTTGTAGAGAAGAATTTAGAACTACAAAATGGAGACTCTTGTATCAGGGTTCTTAGGCACCCTGAAAGTATTCAAATTTTGAAAACCAAACTTCAAGGCCTTGTTAAGTAAATTTGATGCCTGGTTGTTCAAATTTGGTTTTTTTTGGAATTCATTGTTGCTGTACTTCTCAAAGGGTTAAAAAGTTGTACATAAATAAAATAAAACTCTGACTTTCGCAGTTCTTTGATCAATTTTTCACAATTTGTAATAGCTGTAAGTAACAATTGCATGTACATTAATTCATGCTTTGTACAACACTGTCTAATGCATGTAGTCCGATGCATGCTGAACGTTGCTGCACCTGAGATTTTTCGTGATACACATTGTACTTAAGCAACTACCTTTAGTTAAATTTTTATTGCCTGTATCAGCTTTTCGTGATCTCTCCAAGCTGAAAACAATGACGAAATGATAATTGCATCCTATTCCGTCAACAAGCAAGCCACTCTCATCTCATTTTGATTTATAGTTAGTGGTTTACTTGGGCTTCGTACCGCAGTATCAAATCGTACTTCACGAGTAAGCTTATTGAACACAATAAAAACAAATAAAAGAATCAAGATATTTTACTACAAGAGTTCTGCTCAGGTTGCTTAGATATTTCAAGTACTATTCAAGTTGCTTCGTCGAGTGTCCTATTTATCCAATCGCATGTTGTTTGCCTCATCTTTGAAGATCTGTTTACGAAGATTCTTGGCTTCTTTCAACGTCTGAGGTACACGTCTCCGCATCGTAGTTGGTTTTTAAGTCAGTAGTCATAGTTTGTTGTCAGTGTTTTTGTAGTTCGAACTCGTACTTGGCTCATATGTTATCTCGTGAGAACGAGTGTAGCATTAACTTTGCTTACTAATTGGCAGGCTTATAAACTATATAATTCTTGGACCGATCCGTTCCGAAAACGATCAACATTTTTGTATGTGAGATGAACGTATAAGGCGTAATTCTTGCCAAAACTTTCTTCACAAAGCACGGCATTCTGTATAATACGTCGTTCACGAAGGGCAAGCACACGATACAGAAAGTTGTGGGGTTCTCGTCACCAGTATCCACGGTCTACGCTAGGAACGCCTGGGACCATGACCCTCTTTTGGCGACTAAGAACGGCTTGCATTTTATGACTCGGACTTTCCTACGGAAGCTCGAGTAAAAATTCCTTTTTCATTGTGACAAGTGGTCTTGATGTGCCATAAAGTAAATATTTCTGGGGAGATGATGCTTTTGGCATATATAAATAAAATGCTTCGTGGCGCGTGGGCGTGTGATAAAACTGAAACCTTATGCCCTATTTTGGTTGGGGAAACTTCTCTATGCAGAGTGCCAGTTACTACAAATCATTCTATGCCTGCTTCAAATTCTTGGGAGAGCCCTGCACATAATGTTTATAAAATCAATGATGTTTCATTTATGCGCACTTGAAACAATTAAAAGTCCTCAAAATACTTAGTAACAAAAATGGATACAACTGTTAGGCGCAAGATTGGTACATTGGCACAGTTTTTTTCTTTTGTAAGAAAGTTGGATCAATCCATAAAGTTTAATATATTTTAGTCTACAAAATGAAGAAGTCGTACTTTTTTTTCTTTGCAGCGTTGTAACAGGTGCTACTTTGCTGGGTGTTTAAATGACTTCCCATGTCCTTGTCGTGGAGTCAACCATTTTGGCAGATTCGCTTTTATGTTTTAGACTCAAGGACCAGGCATAAATGGACCTTGTTCATCTTCAGTTGATGTATGTGAAGTTGTTTGTTATTAGTACAGACTTCATGTTTAAGGTGTATAGTCATAAGAGATTCTACTTGGAGCAAAGAGGATGCTACAGTGGGACTACTTGAACAGGGCTACATGGAACAAAAGTATAACCAATTAAAATGTCCAGTGAGGACAAAGGAAGGTGATCGTTTTAGTAAACAAACCAGTAATTTTGGAAAATGCAAACAGTCGTTCTACAACAAATAATATAGCCTAGCAAAGTTCTGGCATGTTCACAGACCTCTCAGGAAAATTGATAATTTCTGACATCATTTTTGATTGGTTAGTTTCGAAGTCTTCAGCAGTTTAAAATAGTTTCAGTCAGGCCTTCACAAAATGTCTTTTCAAGTTAAATTTTTCCAATGAAATAAATAGTCATAATAATGCAAAACTCAGGATGGGATCTCTGAAGAGTTTATGCATAGCACAATGCGCGGGTGTCGGAAGTATATAAATTTAAAAAAGCAGAAGAACTTCATTTGCCTTCTTGGTTTAAAATGTTGGTGGAGCACTAATTGCCTGGATGCTTCAGTGTCACTGACCTGTGTAGAGATAAGTTCCCAATCCATGGTTCACAGTTAAGGATTCGATTGGTCAGTTTTCTTGCAAATGGCCCAGTTCAAGAAGTCACCCTGTAGCACTCTTCACTATGATGTATGATGACCACTGTTAAATTGCTACTAACAGTAATTGTGTTGTGTTCAAACTTTATATTTAGCAAAAACAGTGAGGTTTCTGTTGGCGTAGTTTTGTTTAGTTTTAATTTACTAAATATAATCAATGGTGCCTGATGATGACAACTTAAAGCAATTCAGAGTTAAACATTGCATGCACCGTTTTGTATATTAACTACACATGTTGTCAATACTGGTTATATTACGTGTTCCATTTCAAACAGAAAACTTCTTGATTTCTTGTAGTTCTAGGAATACATGTAATATAATTATTTGCTGCTTGTCCTCTGGCCCTAGCCCTAGAAGTGTAAGCTGTTACACTACATTTTGAAAACAGCGGCTTATTAAATATCTAAGGTATCAACATATTTTTCAAGATAATAAAACGTCAGCTATATTTCAGTAATTTTCAGCCAGTCTTACCAATCTAGATGTTAACCTTAAAATCGAATCCACATTGGCATGTGCTTGGTTTGTTTAAATTGGCGTAAAACTTTTGGATGCCTGCACTCTTAGCTTATTAACAAATATTCACCTATATTTGTCGTTGAGTTGAGGCTTGTTCCTTTTTTCTTGTAACAGAGTTTAGTTTTGCAATAAACAGCCCAACATGTTTACAACAGTGTACTTTGCAGGGGAATGCATACTTAGTCTTTAGCGGTTGTAACTGAAGTGCGCCTGCGGTCGTTTATTCGTGTTCCGTAAATCGTCGAATTAGCGCCTCCCCTCGAATAAGCGCCCCCTTCGAGTAAGCGCCCCCTCCCGTCGGCCAA